TTTGAAGTCTGAGGACAGATCTGCAGCTGCTGTAGGACACTGGAGTAAGGGGCTAAGGCACTGGAGATCATTGAGCATCTAGCTTCCCAATTCAGGGAGGGTAAAGGTATACAAAATGTAGGCTGCTTGCATGTGACTGGATGCAGAACGTGGTCTGTAGGTGGTTTTCCTTCTGAGAAACTCCCTGAGGCATACATGAGAAATCTTTTCCATAGTGCATGGCCTGCCACAGCCCCCCAGCGTTCGAAGAGGAGGGCAGGCCTGTGGTCCAGATCATCTCTCTGAGCTAGCGCTGGCCACTGGCACAAGCCAAGCAAGCTGCAGTACTGCAAAGAGAGCAGTTGCATTGCCGGGGCCTCTCTGAAGCCCGCCATTCTCTCAGACCATATCCTGAGAGGAAGATGGTTTGTGAAGAGATTTTCATGAACTAAACGATCCTTTCACGTATAATCTCTGTAGCTGTGGGATAGCTGATGTTGTCTGACTCCTTATGCTCCCTGCCTCCATCCTGCCCTGCTTCTGCCCCTTCCTATGAAGGCAAAGTTGCATGAATTCCTCAGCACTGCTTTGTCGTGCTAAATAGGGAAACTTGACAAACAAAATCCTTGTGGATTTGTTAAAAATGAACAAACAACCTCTTAGAAGTATTAGAACTTAAGTATGTTAATATTAAACATAATTATAGCACATTAATTATGTTTTCTACATTTATTGTGCTGTACTTTGCAAACGTCTGTACCATATAGAGACAGGTGGTAGAGTGCAACGTTGCCAAGCGCCAGATCGGCACCATTTTCCGATTCCATAGATGGCTGCTCTTTCTCTCCAGTTGCAGATACTCATTTAGCTTAGTCAAATTGAGTCCTTATTTGAGAGATTCTGTGCTGAAAGGAAAACGCATCTATCTTTATAAGCCTGTTTGTTTCCATAATTAGAAACTGAATCAACAGTGTATTGAAGATAACACATTTGCTCATTCCCTTTTTTCTCCCTATGGTGGCATAAAGCAGTGAAGCACAATAATTAATGAAAAAGACTGTTTATTATACATGCAACATATCTGAAGTGGAAAAAAAAACAGAGCATGGGTTAAAAATAAATTGCGGAAGACCATCAGCGCCATCACAAAGTGTATGATCAGTCCTAGTGGGAGAGTCCCATCATTCAGTCTGGTTTGGCAAGGTGCTCTAAAACTGTCAAAGACAATTGAACTAAGATTTCTTATGTAAAACTCAGGAAAATATGAAAAACCTTACTGAAGTATCCTGCTAGGGCATATTTAGTGCTCTTCCCAAAATAGTGACTTTTTTGCTTCATTTACATGTCTGCTGTGTCTTGTGGCTGAGTGAAAGTGATACGCTTTTATAGTAGATTTATATTTTCTTCTGGGAGACTCTGCCCAATAGGTTTTATAGGAAAAAGGTTGCACTTAATGCTCTGCTCAGCACTCTGCCTTTGCAGAGGAAAGCTAATCTATTTTAAATAACAAAGGTGAGAAAATACCTGACTGCAGAATACTGCCTTGCCTACTCTGGACATGCTACAGAGTAAGTCAACGCTTGTGGGCCAGTATTGAAAATTAGGTAAAATGCAACACCTTCCTCCGCCTCCTGAGGCTGATAGTGAAGCCCAGGGAAGGATTCCTGCATACTGACTGCCCATGGGTAAGCCCGCAAGGTTCCTCTGAGACTCTTCTGAGGCCACTTCACTTGCAAAAAGCTGCAGTGTAACCAGAAATTTAGAAATGTGTACTGCCTAGTAAATGTCACAGCTATAATGTGCAGCTGAAGTCATGCTGGTGGCAAGCCAAGGTTTGGGTTCTGTTCCATTTCCACCAGTTTCCCTAATACACCTTGCTATGAAAAAGATTTTGTGTTTACTCAAGCCTACAAAGTCCACATAAGGAAAGTTGTATGACAGGAGTAAGAATAGCCCACTTGCTAAATACAGAGGTGACTGAGAGAACAGTGACTCTATCAAGAGTACTGATTTTCAATTCCTTGATTAGCACCTGCTTTCCTTTTATATATTTTATACTCAATGGTGATGCTGCATTGTTGTGGCAAATAAAGCCTGGCATTGCAAAGTATGAACAGCCACTTGCACCAAGAGCAAAGCTTTGATCTTCGTGTTTTGATATACACTCTCCACAATGTTATGTTTTGGGAATAGAGAACTGTTTTGCACTGTTTTTGCATGGGCAGAATTTCAGTAACATAAATGCCTTCTTTTGAATTTAAAGTGCTGTTAGCTAGTGGTTGGTTTGATAGTTTTGTGCTTGCTACAAATCTGCGTGTTAGGGGATGAGCAATAAGAATATGTGGCTTTGCGCAAGCATGATTTTTTGACTTTATAAAAGAAAAAAGTGTATTGATCAATACGCAGCAAATAGAATACAAAGTAGAATAGTGCTCTATCCTATGTGTGTGAATGCCTCATTGTTTATGCAAGGCAATGCAGTCATACATAAACAATTTGAATAGATAATGGCAATATAATATGGGAAATTCTAGGAATATATTGAGTCCCTTCCTAAAATACAGCTGCAGTTGAAGTACTGTGATGGACATTGTAATCAGATTAATTTCTTAATTCTTGTTCTTTATGAAGAACTGTAAGTATCAGCACTTTTCTTTGCTATTCTCTTGCTTCCATGCAGAGAGCTGTTTTATGCAAACAAATGTGGCATGCATGGTCCTGCAACGTCAGTGGAACCATCTGCAAGAGCATCACATCTCGTGGCTAGCTGAGAGTCTTTACAAAGAGGGGTAAATTTAAGGAGTCTTTGTTGTCCTTTCCTCCATATCCTCAGAGAAGTAGGTCCACTGAGGTCATATGGGCTGTAACAGTCTTTAGGTTAGAAGACCGCTTGTGAAACAGCTCTGTTTCTCTTTGTCGGCCTGAGGGAGGACACATCCACCTCCTTTCCAAGGATGAACATTTAATGTGGCTAATAAAGTGTGCTTGCTTTTAATTTTCTGTTGCATTAACCATTCTACTGTGCATGTTGTCCAGATCTGTTTGAGGTGACTGGTTCCCAGAGTGCTTGGCTTATCCTGTTGAGAAGCTACCTGGGCTCAGCGCAGAAATGTCCCCCTGGCACGTAGCTAGGAGCAGGCTGTACTGCTGATGGTAGCAAAACAATAGCAGAGAAAATCTCATTGGTTAGGTTAAAAAGAAAAATCCTGATGTATTTTATTGGGAAGCAATTTGGGGCAGCCAACAAGACAAAAGTTGTCCCACTTTGCAGACTATGGGGTGCTGCTCCTTCCTCTGCTGGGCTCTGGTGCTGTCCCTTGTCTGATGCAGCCCCCCCACAGCTCAGTGCCCCAGGGCGCTAGGTACTGGCCAAATGCAGAGAAAAAGAAAACTGCTGTTTTCAAGACTGTAAAGTCTAAATACACTGAAAAGCCGAAGTAAGTGTGGTGATCCCGTTTTGCAGATGGGGAATTGGTATGGAGAAGTTCAGTGCTTTGCACAAGGTTTCACAGGAAGGGCTAGGCAGCACGGAGCTTTTAATGTAGATTTGTTGATATACAGTTTAGCATGGTAACCACAGGAGCATTATTCTGCAAACCAGCAAAGATATTTCTGGGTTTGTGGAGAGATCTGGAAGAAAGGGAGTTTAGTAACACCACAGAATCACAGAATGGTCGGGCTTGGAAGGGACCTCTGTGGGTCATCTCGTCCAACCGCCCTGCCGAAGCAGGGTCACCTACAGCAGGCTGCACAGGACCTTGTCCAGGCGGGTCTTGAATATCTCCAGAGAAGGAGACTCCACAACCTCCCTGGGCAGCCTGTTCCAGTGCTCCGTCACCCTCAGAGGGAAGAAGTTCTTCCTCATGTTCAGACGGGACTTCCTGTGCTTCAGTTTGTGCCCATTGCCCCTTGTCCTGTCACTGGGCACTACTGAAAAGAGTTTGGCCCCACCCTCCTGACACCCACCCTTGAGATATTTATAAGCATTTATAAGGTCCCCTCTCAGCCTTCTCTTCTTCAGGCTGAACAAGCCCAGCTCCCTCAGCCTTTCCCTGTAGGAGAGACGCTCCAGACCCCTCATCATCCTCCTAGCCCTCTGCTGGACTCTCTCCAGTAGCTCCTCATCTTTCTTGAAGTGGGGAGCCCAGAACTGGAAGCAGTACTCCAGATGGGGCCTCACTAGGGCAGAGTAGAGGGGGAGGAGAACCTCCCTCGACCTGCTGGCCACATTCCTCTTGATGTATCCCAGGATCCCATTGGCTTTCCTGGCATCAAGGGCACACTGCTGGCTCATGTGGTACCATAACAGAAGTAGAACTTAGCAATGCTAATAAGGAATAGTAGTGAACAGTTTTTTCAGTTAATAGTGATAGTGAATAGCATATTTCAGCTCTGCCTGTTGGATTCTCTCATGCGGTGTTCTTTAAACCGGAAAATGTGATAGCAGTTGATTAAAAACTTTTTTGTATTTTAATGAGGAATGGTCTTTGATGGTCTCTTTTACTGTCTTTGTTCCGAGAAAAGAAAAGCATGGAAGATTTTAGTAGAGATAGAAGAGACTTGTCAAAGTTTAGAAAGAAAAATGGAAAAAGGATAAAGAATTCATTTTATTCTTACTTTTTTCCTTGGAATATTGGTAAAACTAGTTCATGGGCAACACTTGGAAATACGAGATACTTATTTTGTTTGTTGTACAGTAATATAATATGCACTTATTTAGCTGTGATACTTTATGATTGAGTGCTTTATTTTGTGGCATGTTAACATCAAACAGTGGCTGGATTCTGATCTCAGTCATGTAGGATGAATAGTTGCACTTGGAATTTTTATTACTATATAATTTATGGTCCTTCTACTTTTTGTTTGCTTCCTTTTAGACTTAACTATTTGAGAATTCTTAGTAGTTAAATCAAAAAGGAGTATTTCCTTGTGTGAAGATTCCTGTTTTGCTGAAAGAACAGATTTTTACATCTTGTCAAGCTGATACTTCTTGTTAATATCTAATTCTTTCTTTTCCACAGAGGAACTCAAGGAGAAACTAAAGAAGTATGTTGATGAAGTGAATGCCCATAAGCCTGGTTTCATCAAGGTTGTTCGACACAGCAAACAAGAGGGGCTGATTCGATCTCGAGTTAGTGGATGGAGAGTAGCCACAGCACCAGTAGTTGCTCTCTTTGATGCTCATGTGGAATTCAATGTGGGATGGTATGTGTCTCCTTGAATTTCTCTGATCAAGGGACCTTTTCCAAGCACTGTGTGTAAATTACTGAATGGCATTTCTCTTGTGTATAGAGGTTGGATTAGCATTCTGGAAGATTCAGACACAAGCATGGGACACAAATGTTAAAAATGTGTTTGTGCTATGTAACAATCTAGATCCGTTTTTATACTGAGTTATCTACTGGTCTAATTGTAATGTATTTAAACTATACTGGAAAACTGCATGTTAAAATCCTTCTCTGGTAATGTAGCTCTTTGCCCATGGCCAAATTTATCTTCTTTTAATTATAAATACTATGTTTCTTTTATGTTCTACAATGTAAATGAAGTGTTATTTTGGCACTGAGGTTGCTGCTCTGTAGAAAAGTAGCATATGACTAAACGCATGTATTTTACATTGTTCATTCTGGATTTAATATCTCTGTTGCTTCTTGAGTGAAAAAAATGGTAAAAAGGCAGGAGCTTCTGTCCCTAGGATAGATCTAGTATTAGATCTGATCTTGATGTCCTCGGCCTGAAGTTATCATTATTTGGTAGCAAGAGTGTAAATACTCTGTGATATGCAGATACTCATTTCTTCCATTCACCAACTAACGTCAAGGTTAATAATAGGGCATCCTAGATGAAATACTGCAGTGTGTTATTTTGGGGCTGATCCGGCTCTGTGAAAACTCCATCTCAAAGCAAAGGGAGCTCTGTATGGGTAACAGCTATAGATAATGTCCTTTCTGAAATATACAGCTTAAGCTGCTATTTCCATCAGTGCTATGCATCCACTGCCATAGTAAAAACACTATTTTTCTTTTTTTAGGGCTGAACCAGTGCTCAGCAGGATAAAAGAAAACAGAAAAAGAGTAATTTCTCCATCATTTGATAACATTAAGTATGATAATTTTGAAATAGAGGAGTATCCCCTCTCAGCACAGGGATTTGACTGGGAGCTGTGGTGCCGATATCTGAACCCTCCTAAGTCATGGTGGAAACTGGAGAACACAACTGCTCCAATAAGGTAACATGCAACTGTGACCTAGATTAGTGTGTCACTGGCAATGCTAATTTAGATATGACAGATGGTGAGTGGTCTCAGCTATGTAATAGATTTTACAGACTGTGATGTTAAATTAGTTAAATGTCCATGAGCTGTCCTTGACCCCTGCACAGTCATCAAGAAAACAGTTGTTTTCTGTACATCTTTTTAAATGGGTTTCCTTGTTATTACCATGGGGTAAAACACATAGCCAAAGTGAAATGGTAGCCTTGAATGCTCAGCAGCACTTCTTTCTCCAAATGTTGTCTGCTAATTTAGTAGTAATGGGCCAAAACCAGAATTTTCTTTATAAATGTATTATATAAACAGAATGGATCTGACAGTTGTATTCTTTATAATACTGTCAAATAGCTTTACAGCTGTGTTGTGTCCTAGGAGTTAATGCTGGTCCACTGATAGTGTGTGAACAGAGACTGAATTAGATCCTTGCTTTGGTATGGTCTAGCTCTGTACTTTCTTATCATGTCTAGAGTATTGTTAGACTGGTACAGAACAATACCCTTCTCTCGGGGAGGGGAGCAGGTGCCTCTGAATGCCCTCAGCAGCTCTGTTGAGATTCCAGGCCTTTCTTCTGGGTACGCAGTCAGTTCCCATGCAGTCAGTGTGAAGGGGTATCTTTCATTCAGTGGTTCTGTATTTTCAGGCAGACAGCTTTTTTCATTAGAACAGGACTTGGAATTGGAAAGCAGGAGATAAAAATTCACAGGTTTGCCACAGACATGTAAAAAGGGGTGGTAATTTCCACATCATTAGAAAGGCTTGACAGTGTTAATGAGCTCTGTTAACATTATGAAAATGCTTTGAAATATTCTACTGAGTCCTGGAGAGGCAAACCTTCTGTGTTAATTATGGTGACTTTTTAAATTAAAAGCACTTAGAATAAAGAGCAAATCTACTTTTCCATTTTACCCTAAAACTCTGTTCTGTGTGAGTATAGTGGCGTGCATGTCCTGTATGAATATTGGATGTTTATGTTTGTTTGCCAGCCCTTTCCTTGGCCCCTTTTATTCAGTGGAACACACTGCATGTGTGTGCTGGATAATTAAAACAAACGAACAAAAAAGCCACATGTATTCATTGATGGCTTCTACCATGCCTCCAATATGCTTCTAGAATTGTAACAAAGGGAATCATGTACTCTGAAAAATGCTTTAAAAACAACACCAAAAATTAGAGTATTTTGTTATAAAAGAAGCGTAATTTTTGAAGTGACATTAACTGGTATTTTCTTCATTAATAAATACATCAGAAACAGTCTTTCATTGTTATAGAGTGGGTACTATAGCACTTCAAGTTACAGGCATAAATGCGTAGATTTCTGTAGACTTGTACAATTTGTGATTAAGACATCCTATAATCTGTTTGAAAGCAGATGTCTACACTTACTGCAGCTTGAATGTTCCCCATAAATGTGGGATGATTTCCTCTGTACTGCTAATTAATATCCTGTTGTTACCATAGTTCCTGATACCAGCATAATAATCAGAAAAGACATTTTTATTTCTTGCTGTTGTGGATTATAATGTAGGAGAAAAATGAAAAGGCTAAATTACTCTGTATTCTCCACTGCATCTCATAAAGGTAAAATTGTACACTCTGAGCCTGAACTCTTACCTTCTTAAGTTTGGCTCTGCGTAGTAAAAGTTGGTTAATTCAGGTCATGACAGAGATAGAGCTTACTGATTCAGTAAAGATATGTGACTTGTATAATTTGGCTCAGGACAATGGACTAATTTTACAGTATGCTGGTAACGGCAGACATTTCTTGATTCTTTATTGCAAAATCCTATCTGGATGTTCCCATTCAAGAAATAATTTCTTTTGCATAAGCTTACAGACACACGTTTTCTCAGCTGTAGATGAACCTAGCTCCTGGCTAAAGGCACAAAATTGTGCATCATTGGGTATCCTTGTTAATTATCATAGACAAGAAACCTGAGGACTTAGCAGGAACAGACATTAAAATGGCTGGTACCTCAGAAACAAACTTGGGGCTCCTGTATCTAATATTTTTAGCACTGAAATCCTGCCAGTTCTGGTAAATATGTATGTCCAATAATTTGGAGTCTGTTTTCCCTCAGTGGTGCTTATTTCAACATAGAATTAAGAACATTAGAAGACAGAGCTGAATAAATCTCTTTGAGAAACACTTCCCTAAGAGTCTGTCTTGATGCACAATTTGATCCAGCAATTATAAATATAATCCATTTCTGAATAATAAAATTGTTCATATTCTATCTGCTAATTTTAGTTGCCGCTGGTTTGTTCTTCCAGAAGCCCTGCGTTGATTGGATGCTTCATAGTAGATAGAGAATATTTCCAAGAGATTGGCTTGCTGGATGAAGGCATGGAAGTATATGGAGGAGAGAATGTGGAGCTTGGAATCAGGGTAAGGAGCATAACCAACAAATGCTGGTGGCTTACATTTGAAATACAGCTTGCTTCTTATTGCGGGGGGGAAAAACAGCAAAAAATATATAGATTGTGTCGTGCAAAGGAGATCCACAGCTCTGTAGTAGTATAAGTTGTTGTGTTGGAGGAGAGAGGAGGGGGGGCAATATAGGAGCAAAAGCTTCTATATCTGATCTGGGAAAGGGATTGAAATACAGAATTTGGTATTATTCTTTCGTTCAAGTAAGAATGCTAGAATTCTGCAGAGGTGATACCTAAAACTCCCTGCTTACCTGTGATCCCAGACTTGGTAAGGAGGATAGTTTCACACAGGCATAATGGGGAAAGCTTCTCTAGATTACTTGGTTTATTTAAATTAGGAAAATTTCTATGGAGCAAACTGGAATATATAGATAGTCATTTATGCCGCCTTCCCTCTGGAGGGGAATTAAGATATTCATAATGTGCATAAATGCACATATTTTCTTTTTCCATCATACACTCTGTATCTGTTTACTATCATAGAATCATAAAATCATTTAGAATCATAGACTCATGTCCCTAAGCAGCATGTCTACACATCTTTTAAATACCTCCAGGGATGTTGACTCTACCACTTCCCTGGGCAGCCTTTTCCAGTGCTTGACAACCCTTTTGGTGAAGAATTTTTTCCTAATATCCCATCTAAAATATGCAGTACTGTGTGTGATTTGTGTACCTCTTTCTATATCTCTTCACAGCTAAATACCATTCTGAAAGTACAGTGCTGTTCTATTTGAAAATCTTTCAGGCTTTTGATATAAGAGAAATTCTTCGATAGATAGGTGGTAATGAAAAATGGTGCGACGAGTTACAAAATTAAGTTCTGAACTCTGCTATGAAAAGTTAGTGGAAGCTTTTATTTTGTGCTTTTTAGTTGGCAGATGAAAAGCATACTGTTATACAACAGCCAAAAAAGGAATTTATTTTAAAAATGTAGAATTCTCTGTTGAGACTGCAAGACAGAACAAAAAATACTCATTTTTACTTCTGGGTTCCTGAAATTCTTTTTCTCCCACGTGTCAGAGATAAAATGTTATTGCAGGTCCCCTCTCAGTTACGTTAGAGCACAGTTTTAAGGAAAGAGAGGGAGAAATGCAAGACTACTTCTTTTAATAACACCGTTCTCCTCACTGTGAGGGCCAGAGAGCTGCCTTCTGTTCCCAAAACCGGATTGTGCAGCTCAGTGTTGTAACGAGTTGAAAATTAGTGTCACTTTGATATTTTTTTCTTTCTTCCTCTGACAAAACTATTGTCTCCTTGTGAGTGTGAGGAGTTTTATCTAGTTTTGCATCATGATGTATATGCTGTCCAGTCCACTATACTTAGCCTTGCACAAGTTGATTGGGAAGAGTGCTTGGATAGACAAGACCAGAGGCTTGTTCAGCCTGAAGAAGAGAAGGCTGAGAGGGGACCTAATAAATGCTTATAAATATCTCAAGGGTGGGTGTCAGGAGGATGGGGCCGAACTCTTTTCAGTGGTGCCCAGCGACAGGACAAGGGGCAACGGGCCCAAACTGAAGCACAGGAAGTTCCGTCTGAACATGAGGAAGAACTTCTTCACTCTGAAGGTGACGGAGCATTGGAACAGGCTGCCCAGGGAGGTTGTGGAGTCTCCTTCTCTGGAGATATTCAAGACCCGCCTGGACAAGGTCCTGTGCAGCCTGCTGTAGGTGACCCTGCTTCGGCAGGGGAGTTGGACGAGATGACCCACAGAGGTCCCTTCCAACCCCTACCATTCTGTGATTCTGTGAAATCTCTGCATAATTGAAACTTTGGGGTAGACTGGATCACTGGAATAAGGCCCAATGCTGCGCTGATTTCTTTATGGCTTTGTGTCGGTCTCCAGGGAAGCAGTGCCTGACCTACATAAAATATTTTCATCTGTAACAGATTGTAGTGTGCAAGGTAGCATAGTGTATGCTGCCTCATCTAACTTTGTCCTGATTTGGATCTGTGTTCCTGGCTATATCAAAACAAATTATGGAGCTGTAATGTAAGATTTTTCAGTAGTTTATTACGAACTCTTCTTACGATACTCAGCGTATCCCAGATAATACCAGGGTGAATATAAATGCAGAGTGCAATATTAGAGCTTTTGGGAAGCACAGTATTATTTCTACAGATGTTGAGCTTGAAAAGCAAGCTCCTTCCCTCAGCCACCTGCTTCTGGCACACATCTGGGGCCATACACCATGTGTTGGCAAAGTACAGGTGGCTGCTTCAAATGTGCTCTCGTGTTATGGTGGGCAGCCATGTCATTCAGGTGCATCCTAAACACTTGGCCCTAGAGGTGCAGCTCCAGGGGCTGCCTTTAGTTGCTTTCAGTAGGGCTATGTGGAAAACTGTAGTTGGCAGGTGATTTCAGGCTGGATGGTCTGTCTCTGCTACTGAACTACATTTTCATCTCTGCAGCACCAAATAGTCATCTCTAGATTGCTTGTGTTGCTTTCAGCTGCAAGGTCTACGATGAATCACTTAATAAAGACAGTAATTGTTCTACAAAAACTACATTATAATTACAATATCAGTGCAATAAATAATGTTTCCATGTTAAAATTATGCTCCCTAATCCATGACTACAGATTGCTCACTGTGCTTCATCTTTCATTGCCATTTTTCTTTTTTAAGATGTATCTCATCTACTATTCTACTGTGTGATATGCATGATCAGGTAGGGGTGGAGAAGCAGACACTGTGCCCAAACTGGCCTGGTGTCCAGGCTAGCCAAGAAGTAGGATGTTGTCTATCACATTCTCTGATATGATGATGTTGACAACTAGTGAAACTTCCTTAATTTTTGTCATGGCTTGAGTTTCTTAGCAAATTTCACACAGGCTGTTCCCATTCTTTGCAGTGTTTAGGCACTGGGAGTTAGTTCTTTCACTGGGAAATTTTATGTATAAGGCTGTAAGAGCGAACATCTACAGGAACAAGAGAGGTAACTTTCAGCTACAGAAATAGCAGCAAGAGTTACGATCATTTGAGCTACCTGTTTATCTTAAACACACTAAGCAGAACATGGTCCTCTGTCCTTATATTACAAGTTTTGTTCCAGAGGATGTAAAACTGCTGTGAGGCAAACTCATATGCAGACCCCCTGCAGCATCACGTGATGACAGGACTGGGTAAAACACTATCTCTGTGCCTATGCACAGAATCAAAGCCTTATTCTCCATTTGCTTTGTTAGCAGCTGCATCTTCAGTGATGTGAGAGAAGATTTTATCTCCCAGCTGAGATGCTTCTGAGACACAAAGTCTACCTGTGTAGATTTCCTTATAAAGGAGAAACCACTTACTATGTGTTCTCACATCTTGAAATGGTTTGTTTTCAGCTGAATTGATGGAGTTTTCACTGTGCAGGGACAGGAATTAGACCCTGACAAAATGGAGACTTATCCCAGTATCCGCTCCCAGGAGGTATTTTTGTCACCTCATGATCTGCACAAATATCTAGTTACTTGTGTTACATCAGTGCAAGAAAATCCCCATCTACTGGAAACTGTATCAGAAGTATCCATTGTTGATAAACTGTAAGAAGGCAGAGAAAAACAGGTCTTTGATTGGAGGAGTATGCTCTTACTCTGATGAATTAGTTTTGCTACTTAGCTCTAGTCGTATCTAATTTGGTGTGTTGTTTGAACTTCTGAGATTTTTACCCTGGTCTGTGGCTTTGTAATAACATTTATAAAATATTCAACATATATTATTAAATAAATATTAATAGAGTTATGTTGCCTTGAGCTAGAACCTGACAGATGAGTTCAAAATATGAATGCATTTTGAATCTTGGAAGCAACAGTGTATTTCCTCTTCGAGCAAATATTTTCTTGCAAAGCTATTTATTTGCCCCATAAGAAACTAAAGGCAGGCTGGTTGATGCAAGACTTGACAACGTCTTTTTTGAGCAACTTGGTCACTTTGTCTGGAATTTTTGAAAGATTCATTTACTGTGCCCCAGAATCATATTCTTAAATTCACATTAGGGTGAGTAATGCTTCTTTTTGGCTTAGGTTCAGTCATTCCCAACTGAATGTACTCAAGTGCATTTTAAGGGACCAGATTGCATTTGAAGGGCAAACTGGAATTACATTGCTTATCCAAGAGACCAAGTAGGAACTATGTTGGTAACTGCCTTATAGTGAAAACAAAATGTGAGTGTAAGGCTGGCGTTTCTCACCATTATTTAGGCTCTGCTTCAGGGTTGTGCTTGCACGAGCAGTACTTGTAGTTATGGAAGCCCCTGCAAATCCATTGCAATCAAGTAGATGCAATCAATTAGATCCTGTAGTAGATGGTTCAAGTTGTAGGCTTCTTAAAGGCCTCTTCCAATTTCTGCTGAAGTCAGCAGAAAATTGTCATTCAAGAGCAAGCCTGTAGCAATCATTTTGTCTTTTACAGCAGCCTACATGTTTGATAAGGCTTCCAAATACCTGTTACAACAAAGTTGTTTGTACCACTTTTAGGGATGTCTGAACAAATGTTCAGTGATGTACCTCAGGTCACAGACAAAGTCATCATCATAAGACCCCCCCCAGAGTCCTGCATCCAGCTCTGGAACCCTCAGCCCAGGAAAGACATGGACCTGTTGGAACGGGTCCAGAGGAGGGCCACAAAGATGATTAGAGGGCTGGAGTACCTCTCCTGTGAGGAAAGGTTGGGAGAATTGGGGCTGTTCAGCCTGGAGAAGAGAAGGCTCCAGGGAGACCTTACAGCAGCCTTCCAGTACCTGAAGGGAGCCTGCAAGAAAGCTAGAGAGGGACTTTTTGCAAGGGCCTATAGTGATAGGACAAGGGGTAATGGCTTTAAACTAAAAGAGGGTAGATTCAGATTAGATAGAAGGAAGAAATTCTTTATGATGAGGGTGGTGAGGCACTGGAACAGGTTGCCCAGAGAAGTTGTGGCTATCCCATACCTGGCAGTGTTCCAGGCCAGGTTGGATGAGGCTTTGAACAACCT